GCCCCTCCTACCATCTTACTGGGGCTTCTCCTTTGTTCACCTCTCCCCCAAACACCTTCCCCATCCTGCATAGACATTTCTGGATAGCTCTCCTTTCAGAGTCCACTGAAATCCACAACTCGAGATTCTTTGTTCAGGTTTCACCTTTACATCGCCCTGAACGGTCTATTATAAAGTGTGAATACCCTAAATGGCGAGTCGTATGAAGCAATGATTAAGCCCTGCTTCCTTCTACATAAATTAGCTGCTTGCCTTTTTCTCTGACTTCAAGGGCACTGTGATGGATACGATGTGAATGTACTTAACACTACAGAACTATATATTTTTGAAAGTGGCTAAGATGCTGAATTTTATGCTATAGATAACTTACCACAATTTTTTAAAAAAATGTATCTGAACTATTCCCCCGTTGCCCTGACTACACTCTCTTCAGAGGAAGAGGCCCAGGCCACAGCTGTACCAAGACCCTGCCTGCCTCAAAACACAGCTGATGAGACTCACAGATATAGAGAAAAAACTAGTGGTTATCAGTGGGGAGAGGGAAGGGGGAGGGGCAAGATAGGGGGAAATGGGGGTATTTGTGGGATTATATGAAATTATGTTTGCAACTTTTGAAAACTGTGAAGCACTATAGAATTTAAAGAATCTTTTATTCAATTAAAAAAAAAAAACAGCTGATGAGGGACTGGTCACCTGGTCCCATGCTGAGATCTAGCAAAGAAGACTTGACTTAATCACATTATTTGTCTTTCTGGATAGGCTGCAGGGTATATTAAGTGACAAAAGGGGCTGAAAAGTGACTTTCCATCCAACTTCTTCTCCCAAAGCCATTCTGATGGTTCTCCAACAAGGCTTGGCTATCAACCAATCTAATCTATGCACCCTTGGTGGTCTTTGTTCTTGCTCCCTTACCTTCACAGAACATTCCAGATTGCTCTTCCTCCTAAGTCTCTCATGAAGCCCACAGCCTGTGATTATTTCCCTTCATTCTCTTCTCTTATGTCCTCTCTTAATCCCTGACCTGTGTCTTCAAAGTCTAGAATCCCTGAAAATACAGTATTTATTATTTTTTTAAGGGCACTTGTAGGCCTACCGATAAATGGGAGTAGAATAGGAATGTGAGACCGTTTTGCACAGATTCCTAGTTATCCAAGATTTCAAGATTCGGGGAAAAGGCTGACAAATCTGGGAGCTAGTGGCCAAGTCACTGCAATTCTCTTCTTTGAACAATAAAAGTGAACCACACAGTAGAGAGAGCTTCCACAGTGGCTCAGTGGTAAAGAATCCACCTGCCAAATCAGGAGACACAGGTTCAATCTCTGGTTCAATCTCTGGGTCAGGAAGATCCCCTGAAGAAGGAAACGGCAATCCATTCCAGTGTTCTTTTCTGGGAAATCCCGTGGACAGAGGAGCCTGGCAGGCTACAGTCCGTGGGGTCACAAAAGAGTCGGACACGACTGAATGACTAAACAACAACACAGCAGAGAATTTTCTCTTCCTCACTTTCCCCACACACCTTCCCAAGAGCACTCCCCCAAAGAAGGAAAAGGAAAATATAAATGTAACACCTTATTCTATAGTTGCTATACTTCTTTCCCATATGGTATCTCACTTGATCCTCAGCTCCCCACAGCTGCAGAGACAGGCCCAGAGAGGTTAAGTAGATCACCCTGAGAAACAAAGCCTGTTAAGTGGCAAACCTGGGGCTGGACCCCAATTCTCCCAGATTCTTGTCCTTGCTTTAGCCGTCAGGCAAGATTGTTTGGAAAGCAGCCCAGTCCCTTTCCTCTTATTGATACAAATTGTGTGCAGATCTTTGGTTTCTAAAGGAGATGGCAAATTGTAAAGAAGATGGTGACTGACTACAGACAAATGAAAGACCCCATTTATATCCCTCTAGAAAAATGAACTGACAACACAGAATTATGCCTGTAACGGGAGGAAAGCTTCTGTTTATTTTTGCACTGTCAATAAGCACTTCCAGACATTGGAACTCAAAACATCTCGGAGCCCCACTTGGTTTAAAGCCTCAAGTTACAAGTAAGGAAGCATTCTTCATTATTATTATGGAGCAAAGATCTGAAACTGAACTGAAATGGGACCTATTTACACAGAAGAAATAGTCTGCTGTTGGGGGGTAGATTGAAAAAAAAATCACTCTAATTGATAGAATCACATTAAGGAGAAGGTGAAAAAAATGTCCCAGTTTGTACAGTCAGCTAGTGCTATTCAGGAATACATTATTAAAACTACAGGCTGACCGGGTCCCTTAAGGTCTTCTTTCTTCCAGCTCATGCTGACCACAGTGTGAGCACTTCAATACTGTTGACACCCCCACAAGTGGTACAGAGTCAAGTGTCCAGACATGTGGGAAACTTCAATATCTGGGACACAGTTGCACTCTTGAAAGTGCTTGGGAAAAGTGGATGGGCAGTCAAGCAAATCACTCTCCCCCATCCAGCTCATTTTTCTCACTGGGAAAGCTCTTTGGCTACTCTCACATGAACTTGGTCAGGACCCTCATCATCCTAAAAAGGTTAAAATATTAATTGCAGGGCAGCAATGGAGACACAGACATAGAGAACAGAAGACTTATGGACACGGTGGGGGGTGGTGAGGAGAGGGTGGAAGGTATGGAGAGAGAAACATGGAGACATACATTACCATATGTAAAACAGATAGCCAATGGGAATTTGCTGTATGACTCAGGGAGCTCAAACAGGGGCTCTGTAACAATCTAGGAGGGTGGGATGGGGAGGGAGATGGGAGGGAGGTTCAAGAGGGAGGGAACATAGGTATACTTATGGCTGATTCATATTGCTATTTGGCAGAAACCAACACAATACTGTAAAGCAATTATCCTTCAATTAAAAATAACTACAATATTGCAAAGTAATTAGCCTCCAACTAATTAAAATAAATGGAAAAAAAATTTTTTTAAGAAAATGAAATTGAAAAACAAAAGGTTAAAATGTGTTTAAAAGCAGGAATAGTTTGGCAATGGGATTTGCTTCCCATAGCTGGCATATTCATGCTTTTTTATGGACATTATCCCAACTGCTCCCAGCTGCCCTTTTGGGGGCAATATATATTTTTAATGTCTTTGAAAAAAAAAGTACAGATGTTTACAAACTTTCAACACCTAGAGCAGTGACGATGCTTCATTATCAAACAACCTCATGTCTCCAGTTATGCCAGATCAGTGAGGGACGTTTTTGTACCCAAAATACTGGGTTGGCCAAAAAGTTCATTCTGATTTTTCCATAAGATGTTACAGAAAAATCTGAAGGAACTTTCTGGCCAACTAATACAAGGCTGAGGGCTGCCACTGCTCCCCCTCCCCTGCCATGCCCCTGGCATGGATGGATATTTGTGTCCTCCCTCCATATCCCATTCAGGCCCCCCTGCCTGGCCCTGAGATGACTCTCACAGCATCATCTCTTCTCCTCTCATTGTCTTGGACCACTGCCCAATCCCTGGCCCCCACCTGCAAGTTCCTGGGGCTGGAACTAAGACTGGAGAGGAGCCAGTGGGGCAAGGCCAGTATATCTTCAAGGAGTGAATCCTGGGAATGAAAGTAAGTTTGTCTAACTTATTAATAGCTCCAGTAAAATACCATATGGGCTACAAGGTCAAAGCCAATGCCTTGAATGAGGCTTGTGTATTTTCAGTGCATTTAAGTAACCCATAATATCTTTGTCCTGCTACTACTGAGAAACCAGCTGTCTTGAAGCAAGTTGACTTAATGCTGAGGTGACTTCATGTGTGTTTGATGAGGCTCAAACAGACATCATCAGGTATAAGCATTTAAGCCCTAGGCAAGCAAGTTTCTGATGACCTTCAGAGGAGAATAAATCAATAAACATACACCTCTAACTTTACCCATCATTGGTTAAGATAGTTTAAGCATCTCCTTTCTGACTTAAGATTTACACTCTTTGTTGGCTTTTTCTCTTTTAAATAAGCCACTTCTTTGAGAGAGTTACAAAGGTGGCTTCTAAAAATTTACTTTGATAATAGCTAATAGTGATGGGTATGAGATGTTGCTTTCATTTAAACTCTATGCCAAAAAACTGCAAAAGGCAAGTGAAAAATCGTTATTTAGCACTGTGATATTTGAAAGTGCTTCAGAATTAAGGGAAAAGGAGAATAAAGCCATTATAGCTTGGAAACATTTGAAGAAAAAAACAACCCATTTAGCCATATATAAGCCTTTTCTTCACCCACAGTGACATCTATGACATTGGAACTGGATATCACAACAACCCAACTCCTAAATCTAAACATTATTTCCAAAAAACAAAAAGAATTCATTCTGTATATAGTGCTGGGTCTCAACGCTGGGATCTTTGAGAAAAGAGTCTTAAGCCATTTTTAAATGACCTTTATTAGCTGCCTCTGACATTCCCCAGGTTACAGAGCAGGAGACGACTGAGCCTCGTGTTCCATGGAGGGAGCAGATAGCTGCCCTAACAACTGAATCAAGATAAGAGAGGCACAGGGAAGTACTGGGGTAATACACCCAGCAGTGTCTGTCCATGGCAGAAGATGGCAAAGCTGCTCAAAAGTAGGCAAGTTACCTTTGGATGACAACTGGAAGCCAGAAAACCATACAGTTGGGACTCAGACGTCTTCCCCACCCCTAAGCCCCCTCCCCCACCAGTCCCCATCAAGTCCGTTCTACACCACAGACTGGACCTAGTGTCTTGCTTAGCTCCCTGCTGAAGGAGGAGGGAGGGAAAAGACTTTTGAGGTCTCATTTTCTTTGTCTCTGTCCCTAAGGCAACAGGAAGTTGGAGCTGCCGCGGCCGGCCTGGCAGTGGCGGCAAGCGCATTGGCTCTGCAGAGTCTGAGCCCCTGGAGCAGCTGCCAGTTAGACGGCCCAGAGTTCAGGTAGACTTCACCGCTTCAGTTCAATGCCAAGTGTTGGACGTGTTGGATTCAGATGGGGGGCGGGGAGAGGAGCGAGAGGCTGGCCCGGAGGGTAATGCTTCTTCCACGGCCCTCCAGGCGAGGTCTCCTGGCCTCTCAACGTCTTCTGAGCCTCAGGGGAGGCAAGCCCTGGAAGGGGAGGAGAGGACACGGCGAGACAAGCGAGCTGAGGAGGGAGCGGGCGAGCCAGAGAGCTGGGTGGCGGTTCTAGACCCCCTCGGTGCCCCGGGCCATGGCCGGAGCGGGCAGCCCGCCGGGGGCGAGCTGGCGGCGGCCCTCGGCTGGCGAGCCGGCCAATGTCTCGGCGTCGGCGGTGACCGGGGCCCCTCCCGGCAGCCACTCGTGCTGGGCGCAGGCCTGGGACGGCTCGTCCTTGGCCTCGACGAGCTTGCGGGAGCGGGTGTAGGCTAAGATGAGGCCGCCGGCCAGGCAGGCGTAGAAGACCATGATGAGCAGGATGTAGAGATAGGCGTCGTCGCCCTTGGCGCTGGTTACCTCGCGGCCCACGAAGGGGTCGGGCACGACCCCCATGCCCATGCTCGGGCCGGGGCCGGCGCCCAAGCCACTGGCGTTGCCCCGGTGATGCAGCTCCAGCAGCAGGCGGCTCAGCAGGGTCCGCAGCCGCTGACTCTCGCTGCAGTTCATGGCTGTCGGGGAGTGACACGGCGGCTCCAGATCGCTGTTGACCTTGCCCCCGGGCCAGGCCGAGGGGATGCGGGCGGGCGAGCGGCGGCGGTACCCGGCTCCTCCAAGGCGGGTGGCGGAGTGGCTGGGGGGCCCCGCCGCCCTGGCCTCCTTATTCCCTCACCCCCGCACCTCCTCCCCTTCCCCACCACGCCCCCTCGGCCCGAGGCCGCCTCTTCCCAGGCTGTCTCGCCGCCCCGGGGATAGGGGACAGCTGGTGGGGGGAGGAGAAGGGGACGAGGGAGGGGGCGAGGCCAGGAGAGGGGCGAAGGGGGCGGGGGCGCGGAATGCGCGGGGCCCCCGGCGGCCAAGACTGGCTGGGCGGCTCACTGGGGCCAAGCCTGGACCCCGGGCTGCAGCGGAAGAGAATTCCTTCTAAGTTCTGGCCACCTGCCCTGCAGACCCAATTTTGGCCCAGTTACAGCATCTGCCCACCGCCCCGCCCCACATCAGCTCTCACAGAATGTGGCAGCAGAGACCGCTGGTCCGCCTCTCAGAGCTGGTGATTACTGATGTAGACAAGGACCCTGGCCTAGCTTCCCAGCCATCATTGCTTCCCCTGGATGGAGGAGGTGAGCATCTTATTCAGAAGATGCTCAGAACAAATATGGCGACTGAAGTGGAGTAGGATGCCCCAGGCTTCCAAAAAGGCTTCTGATAATATACTAGCCTCCTGGGAAGTACCCCTGCTCTGATCTCCTATCATATTTTTAGAGGGGCCTCCACATCTTAGCATGTGAGTGTAACATCTATTATGTGACCCTGTTTTCCCTTGGGTGGCAAGTCATCTTCCCAGATAAGCAGCCAAGTTCTTCCATTAAAAGGAGCAGGGACATTTAAAAGACCATTTGGCTATACTCTAGACATCTCAGGATCTGAAAAGTGCCAATTCTAGAGAATTTGCTGACCTCCACACCCAATTAGGCTGATATCCAGCTCTGTGCCTCTGTGGGGCTTGGTAATAGGTCTTGGCCCTGCTGGCTCATGCAGCAGTCATTTTTTTTTTCCTCAGAGGGTATTCCCTGGTGGCTCAGTGGTAAAGAATCTGCCTGCTGATGTGGGTTCAATCCCTGGGTCTGGAAGTTCCCCTAGAGAAGGAAATGGCAACTCACTCCAGTATTCTTGCCTGGAAAATGCCATGGACAGAGGAGCCTGGCAGGCTACGGTCCATGGGGTCACAAAGGGTTGGACATGACTTAGCAACTAGAAAACAATAACAGTCTTCTTTTAGGGGGAATCAAGGCACTAAGACAGAGATAAGTTCATAGTATGTCCAACTGGAAACAGACTGGGATTCACAAAGAGAAACTGCTCAAAGGATTGATTTCTAAACAGCGAGTAGGAAAAAAAAATGAAGTAGTGCTGGTCAGGTCTCGTATATGATTGCCAAGTAAGAATAAAAGGGATTTTTTTTAAAAAGCTATATGCCTGTATGCACCCCATGCAAATAAAGCTGCCTGTTTAAGATCATTCAGTCCAGGGGCCATTTGATCTGCAAGGACCATAGGTTTAAAAAGATATGTTTTTCTGATGTCTCTGCTTCATCCACCCTTCAACTAGAGGGCCAGCCACTGCGGGGCTGTAGCCTTCTGTATGTTGGAGTGAAGGTGGCACCAAACCGTACCCAGGGTCTCAAACAGAACCTTGCTTAGCAGCCTCTACATACCTCTTAGAGACATTCCACGTGACCCTGACCACTGCATCCCTCCTAATCACCTTGCCTCAATGTCCTCACCTCAGAGGGACTCAGGGAAGAACTGTTCAAGTGAATTGGTATGACTAATGCCAGAGGACACAGCTAGGAAATTCTCAAAGCACTACCAACCTAACGACAGAAATGTTAAGCTAAAAAACCTCTCTGATCTGTTAAAACATTTAAAACATGCCCATAATACCTAGGGTTTTTTGTTTCGGGGAGTGGGAGGAAGAAGCCTCTTTACTGTAGCATGAATACAATCATTGAAACTTTTACTTTCAACAGGCTTATAAGCCAATAGATTCAAATGGTTAAGCAGCAGGACTAGAATAATAAAGTTTGACCTTGTTCCATGTCATAACACATGACTCTTGTCACATGGTCGGTATCCATGAGCTGCCTCCATTTTCTCACCCCTCCCTTTCCTTTCCATTCCTGGAAACTTCTAGAGTCCAGCGCTTTTGGACAAAATTACTCTCTGTCAGTAAGTTCACCAACACCCTCAGGGCCAAATTTAAGGGTCTCTTCTCAGTTTGCATCTTTGACCTCAAGGGTGAATTTGATACCATCAACCGCCCCCTTCTTCCTGTCCTACCCTTGGCTCTGGTGGTATGGGTTCTCAAGTTTCTCTTCTTATCTCTCTGATGCATCATTCTCTGTCTCCTTTGCTGGCTCCTGTTCTTTCCTCCTCCCATTAGCTGTTGGAATTCCCAAAGACTCAGTCCTCAGCTATTCTCTCTTAACATCCATTTCCTTGGAAAGTGTCTCCTTACATGGTCTCACCGACCACATGGCATTTATTTAGCCAAATCTGAATCTCTAGCTCTGATTCTTTCTTGTTAGCATCTTTTAGATCAATCCATTCCTTCCTTTCTGGTTTTATCACCACAAGCTTAATCCAAGCTCTCATTACCTCAGGTCAAATACGCAAACTGAGAGTCTCCTGTCAGATCGCCCTGCCTACAACCCAGTCCACCTTGCTATGACTGAAATAATTCTCCACCAACACCACTTCCATCCATTCACCCCTGTGTTCAGAAACCCAAAATTGTTCCCTACTGCTTCTTTAATCTTCTTTGATGGGTCTGAAGTCCTCATCACGAATAGACACCACCTTCTTCCTTTGCACTTGCAAAATAGCATATTCCTGGAGTTCCTCTCCAATACTCTGGGTCTTTCATCTTCCTCAAAATACACTGACAAAAGGAAGTCTTGCTTGATGCCCCTATTTGTGCTCTCAGAGTCCTGACAACACACCCCGCCTGATAGTGCCCCAACTCAGACTGCAGTATTCAATGCACAAAATTTGGAAAACACAGAAAAACACCAAGAAAAAGAATCCCCAAGAGCACACAAATGTTTCACATGAACACACACACATACAGGCACACACCATACATATATCATTGTTTTGTAGCCTTTTTCACTTAACAAGACACTGGGAATTTTTCCTCATGTCAGTAACTATTTTTTATAACATCATTTTATTATCTACACAGTATTCTGTACTATGGACCTGCTATGATGTATTTAAATGAGCTCTTATTGTAAGATTTCTGGTTAATTTCAAGGTTCTTGCTATTAAAGATAATGTTTTCATGAATACATACAAGGTTAATTCTAATTCCTTTAAAAGAAATAATTATCAGAGAGAAAGCAAGTTACACATTTGCAGAAGACTGGCATAGGGAGCAAGAGATGTATAGAAGGGAGTGGAAACAGGAATGGAGACTAGTCATAAAATTTAAAAAGGCCCAACCCTCTGAAAAAAACAACAGGTGTGTGTGGGGAAGGCTCTAGCTTTCTTTTCACTCAAGGGGCTGGCTGCTGGACAACCCTACAACCCCAGCCCTGAATGGCTGAGATGCCAACCCCCTCCGACCCCCTACTTAATGAAATTGTGAATCCATCAGACAAGGATTGAATCTCATTCCTCCCCAGCTTTCCATCCCCTCTACACCTGTCCCATACCTGTCACATAATCATCTGTTTATCCATTGTCCAGAACTCACTTATTTCCTGACTGGTAATCAAGTTTGTTGACAAAGGGAAGGAATTTATAATCATGTATTTAGACTTTCAAAAAAAGTCTTGGAAAAGGTTCTGTTCCATGCCAGGGTTGTTTTAAAAGTACAATTGAGGCGCCATGGGCTAGGAAATGCTTTCACCATTCCTTGAAACTGTGAATGTTTCCTGCCAATAGCACAGCTCCATGGAAGTTGGTTGAATTGAACTGAGTTGAGTTTGGCTAGTTGCCAAAGGACGGGCACAGATGGTAAGCACTGTTGGAGTCCAGGAGGCTGGCAAAGCTACAATGGGCTCCAAGGGAGGGGAGGAAAGAAGGCTTCATGAAGCACCAACTACAGACCGAGAAAGAATCATTCATTCATTCATTTCTTCAGTGAATACTTGTTGCATGTTACACTGTGCAAGGCACTGTGCTGGATCCTAGAGACACCTCAGCAAACAAGTCACACTGGTGAGCTGGCTGTGGCTTTGATGGATCACAGACACTTCTTTGTGAACTGGACCAAAGCAGGGAGTGCAGGATCTGGAATGGGATGAGAGGTGGGCATGAAGGATAGCCAGAATTCTGATTGGGAGAGAATTTTGAGTCTGGACCTAAGCATTAGAGTCCAAAGACTTGTTTTAAAAAGGAAGAGTCCCCTTAATTCAAAAGAGGGAGGAGAATAAATGGGACAGTTCCTGGATCCCACTGGGACTTCTCAGTTGCTTCATAGGATTGTGTGCAGTATTGGGGGTAGAGGGACTGTGGTTTGATAAAATCAATATTTATGGGTTCAAGTGAACCCCAGGAGCTTCATGTGCCTATTTTGGAGATTTCTTGGAGATGGGCTTGTGCTGAGGTCACCCTATAACCAGGCCACATATGGGAGCATGAAATATGGCCCCTGATCTCATTTATCAAATGCCTGTTGATGTTATTCAGTCACTCAGTTGTGTTTGACTCTTTGCAATCCCATGGACTACAGCATGCCATGCTTCCCTGTCCTTCACCATCTCCCAGAGTTTGCTCAAATTCATGTCCATTGAGTCAGTGATGCCATCCAACTATCTCATCCTCTGTTGCCCCCTTCTCCTGCCCTCAATCTTTCCCAGCATCAGGGTCTTTTCCAATGAGCTGGCTCTTTGCATCAGGTGGCCCAATTATTGGAACTTCAACTTCAGCATGAATCCTGCCAATGAATATTCAGAATTGACTGGTTTGATCTCCTTGCAATCCAAGGGACTCTCAAATGCCTAGCATGTGCTATTAATTAACTTCAAACAACCCTATGAGGAGGGTAGTGTTGTTATTAAAAATATTTAACAGCACTATGTCTTGGGCACTGATGGATGAGCAAACAATCAGAATGGTTTAGTC